CCGTATTTGAATTTCGAAATCCCCCGGGGAAGAGTTGTTGGCTCGTCACATTCTGATTACTCGCCACTCGACGCTTCAAGAAACCCGTCGAGGCCAGACTTTCGCACAATGCAAATCCCTCGGGAGTCTAAACAACGGGTATGACCGACACTCCGAGAAATTAGTCGTCGGCTAATAGGTGTCAATATTTACCCTTTAGAGCTTCATCCCTCGAGTAGTCGCCTGGGATTTCGACTCCCGAAGAAAGGAAGTCGCTGTTGCACGTACCTGTGCCCCTTGTTTGGGATTAGTATCCGGAAGAGCTTGGGATTTAGAAAGTCTAGGAGTTATTAAAGCGGTATCCACGTGGCAGAGTTTCAAGATATTTCGAACAGTGTTAGCATACGTTGCCCGAGCGTTTATCGAAAACCGTCGAAAGGGAGAATATATCGTCAATGTGAGAAAAGGTATCGTGGTTTTTGCTCCAGTTTCCCCGATGCCTTTGGCCGAAAGTGCGGCCGCCCTTTGAGCGATTGCTCAGCGGTTTTTCCGCTCCGCCCCGAAACGCCTGGCTGTCCCGTTCTCTCTATCGCTGCCATTACAGCCTCTGGTTTCTACTCATGAGCATCCATTTTGAATTTTCTATCGCTCACTCTGCTCCGTTCTACGCGCACGCTAAAGGAAACTTGCATCGGGAGTTGCAACTTTCAGAGCTCGTTAAATGAAATAAAAGTTTCGAGTATACGAATATTTCACGATGGACGAATAAAGATACAACTGTTAGAGGCGTCGAATAAATTTTACCCATCTCTGTGCGAGCAAACACGGATAGTTCGAAGCGGACGGATGTATAAAGTCAGCCACGTCGGAGCGCAAACAAAATATAAATCAATCGAACAATAATAGAGACCGTCTGGCTTGATCCCGATATTCCCAATTTTCCCAAATGGTCGCAAACGACGCCCTCCCGGCCGACGAAAATTTCTGTCCCTTCCGTGGAAGGTACACGGGGCGGACGGGGGCACATATGTTACGTGGCCCCCCCCAAACCCCGAGATGCCGCACCATTTCACGCAACGCGTAGCCCCAATTTAATTTGTCCCGCGAGCAAGAATCCGCATTCGAAGTAACTGGTTCGCCCCTCCTCCGTTGCTCGCAGATGGACGAACGCGAAGGAGAACTCCTTTGCTCGACGAAGAGAAGCAGATTTTAATTGAAACTTGATTTCTTTATTTTTCGGTCATATTTTGAGAAAAATATCTCGTTTCCTTTCGTCGATCGAAGGTTTTACGATAATTGGCTGTCGACTGGTCGAGTCCTCGAATCGAAGGTTGTCCGTATAATTACTATTACACTCGAGTTGCCCGGTAATTCGTCGCAATTATCGTCGCGAGACCTTCAGGAACGCATGATCGGAAGTCTTAATTACACGGTGAAATCCACGGAGTCGTCGTCGCGACTTCCATAGACCGCGGGTATTCTTCTCGAGCAACGAGGAGAGGACACGGGGGTAAAGCAAAAAAGGAAGAAAAAGGGCAGGTCCTTATTTACAAGCGGGTCCAGACATAGTATTAAGCAAACTACCTGAACGACACCTGGGATGACGTATTGCAGCCAAAGTGCGCCGTCTTTATATTTTATGAGTCTGCCTCATAAATAGCAGCGTCCCTTAACAACCGAGCAGTCTCGAAGACACGCGCCTCCCCACGCGTTATCCCCACCCCGGTGTGGCGAACGGACGTACTCGGCGACGTCGTCTTCATTTTTACGTTTCCCCGTGTCGCCTGGCCGCTCGCCCCGAACCCGGCCAACCACCATAAACAGAATTATTGCCAGCTGTTCACCGTTTTTGTTCGCCGTCCAGGTAAACGTGGCTCACGAGCTGCTCGAGGTGTTGCGAGAAGTTCCCGGACGACCGACAATGAGCTGTAAAACTTTCACTCGCGGCCCACCCTTGCTCGATTCTTTCCGGAAATCTGTTACGCGATGTTGTTTCCGCCACTCGGGTGGCTATTGTTCGCCCGTCACGCGGAACGCGTTCGCGTCGACTCTTGGACAGTTTGATCTCTGTTTGGCCATTTTAAGGTTTTAAGGTCGCCGAGTACCGGGCTCCTGAGGCCGCAAAAGTCGCAACCGTTGGCTCATAAATAAATTTTGTTTTCGTTTCGACCTACGATGATGCATTTGCTAAGACCAACGTTCCTAAAATTCCACCTCCCCTATTATCGCACCAACGACGCGTTCTCCATTTTCTAACGTCGTCCCCCGTATTTCCTCGAGGCGTGCGTAAGCTGGCCAGAGTTTCCCGCGGCCGAGGAAAATTAAGTCAGTAGGTAAAATCATTTACGGTTCGCGAAACGCTCCCCGAGCCCGGGACCCTCGTTCCTTCCCACAAGTATCGCCCTTTGCGGATTATTATTTATTATCGCCGCACACACGCGAGCCCGGCCACGGCGGTTGTTCTCCCAGCATCGTTCGCGTCTCGGTGTGCGTTGGAAGGAATCCATCTGTGCGTGTGGACGCGTGTCCATCCTGATCAGCCGGCCCGGAGTCCCCGTTGGTTTGGTCACCGCGTCGAACGCATCATCAATCACGTTTTTTCGGGGTTGCTTTACTATTTATAGTTTGTCCGCAAGGCCGTCTATTATCTTCTGCTAACGATAATTGTTTCGAAACCGGGCCCTTTAACCGTAAGCCGATCATTAGCGTCTACCAACCGCGGAACGCCGATTGTGTCTTACTTAATCCCGATGATCAGCCTGACGAGGTGCTCGACCTATTTTTTATGCTACTCTCGCGCGACAGCAACGATAATCTTCTCACCTCTGTAAATGAAAATTAATAAACGCGTTAAGGGAAGAAGGATTCGATGAAGAACGATGAAATTTATTTCTTGTACATCTTTCGGAGTATGTAAAAGTCACCATAAAGGGAGAATACCACCCCTAACAGTATGAATAAGAGGCAGGGGTTGCTAATATGCCGAACAGCCACTCACAGGTTAAGAACAGGGAATAGTTGGTACAGATAGTAATATAGATAATTATAATCGATGTAAGTTAATGCGAATGAGAGAGTACTAAATGGAACCTGCGAGAAGAAACAGACAAATAGGTTTTGGCGAGCAAACAGTTTACAAGATAAATGCACCCACTCTTGGTTACTCGAAGATTTATCAAATTTAATCTTGGATAAAATGATACCGGCGCTAGGTGTAATTTAATCTATCGATTCGGCTACTATTTTCGAGGGTGAAGAAGAAAAAGATTTGCAATTGTCTCGGTTGTATTGAATGGTCGCGACCCTTTCGAAGGAGCCGAGCCTACTTTCATAATTCTTCAGCTTTCTTCGGTCTTTCCTCCCGACGTTCCCCCTCCTCGCAAATGCGCCGAGACGAAAGTGGGATTAATGAAAATACAGAAGGTGAACGGGGGCAGAAGAGACGTGCTAAATGCACGTGTATATAACAGGAAAGAGGAGAGAGAGAGGGTTCAGCAGGGTTGATTAATCGTCACCGGTCAGGCTTCTAGAAAGAGACGTCACTCGCAAGACTGCCCGCGTCTAGCTTTGGCCCCGCGTTCTTTGTTTACTTCCTCGAAATATCTCTTTCAATCTTTTCCTCCTTTGAACAAGAACACTGCGAAACATTCGAACCACCAAAAATTTTTGAGGGGACCTTTCTTTTATCGAAGTGTTTCATACAAGCAAAATACTAGGAGGCCATTAATAGTTCGAGTTTTTCGCATTTTTGTAATTAAAGTACCGAGGGTATCCTATTTTTTAACGTACTTTTAGGAATCGAGGTGACTAACGGGGATTGTAAAATGTAATTTCTTTCAAAATTAAGGTTTTAAACTACATTTTACAGCGCGAAGCATAAAACCGTGATGAGCCCATAAACAGTGCGTACCCTCAGAAGCGATGAAAGGGACACAGGAAAGAGACAGCAATAACTGAAAACCCTAACCTAGAGTCTTTGTGTCTCTCTTGCTATTTAGAAGCACGAAATAAAAATTTTGTTCCGTTCTTCATTATTTTAGTTAAGGGTCGGGCATCATGGAAGACCCTCCCCTGTGTAGAATCTTAGATTTCGGTTGTAACACTGAAACTCGCCCTTTCACCCTAGCCGATACAGCTTTCATTTTGTATTTCGTGAAATTTTGTGAAACACGACACCTAAAGTCGACTATAAATAACCTGGCGAGCTAGTGTTCGGGATTCCGGCTAGAAAAATCCATTTCTTCGATGTGTCATTAAATGGTGCTTATCAATCGACTCGATTTTATCAGTTCATCTCGCGAAGCAGCTTCCAGTCAGGGGGTTGGTCGTCGACGATAGGCCGCTTAGATCCGGCCAAGAGTCGAGGGGGTCGCACACATGGTGGGCATTGTGCGAGGTCGGGTGCGAGGGGAGCCAATATGGGTTCTGTGTCAATAGCGTTAATAGTGGGAGGGGATTGCGGCACGGATCGGAAAGCGGGTGCGTGTAACGGGGGTGGCCTTAACTCTGAATCAAAGGGCAGCTGATAGAACCGAGAGCTCCCCTGCGGTAGCCACGGGAGGCGCTACAGAGAACCCGAGGGTAGTTCGGCCCCCTCCACCTCCGCTCGGCAGCCTCTGTCCGCGTGGTACGGCAATAAACCGGTGAAAGTTTGCCGGGGTGCCCCTTTTTGGCACGCGTGGAACCCCCTGTGCACCGTGGACGGTCGAAATCGTCACGGGGACAGAAATCGTTTCATTTCATTGTAAGTCGGCATCGGTGCCTGGCAAGAGGGCCTCGCTCCGCTGTCGTCCTCTGGAAGCGTGCTCGGACCTCGGTGGAAGTGCTCGATGATAGTTCGCTACCGATAGTGTGTTGAATATTTTAGTGAAAAACCTCGTGATCATCCATACAGTGTGCAACTACCCACGTGTTACCCTAACGCGTTGCATCGCCCATGCGTGACTCCCCAAAGTGTTGACCCTCGAAACTCGTCGTAAGAACAATCCTCGCGCGTCCTTCGATTCGGCGGTCCCATCGCGATGACCAGCTCCGCGTATTTCGCCAACAGCGAGGCGGACTACTGGCCTTATCAGTCGTCCATCGGTGACCGATCCACCGGACAGGTTATGTACCCCGAAACCGTGTATCAGACCGTGCATCAGCAGCTGCACTCGAGCTCGGATTACAGCCAGAGGCCCGTCGAGGGCCTCTCGCCCCCCTCGAGTCTCCTGGAGACTCTTCTTCGTCACGGGAAGGACGCCATAGGCGAGGATTACGCGAATCCCGCCGTAAAACCGGATACGCCGTCGATCGGACAGAATATCCCGCACGTCCCGTGTCAAACTCCGCCGTACACGCCGACGTCCTCGACGGACAGGACGTCGCCCGTCGCTGGATTCCTGGCGGACCCACAGGAACGCGTCCAGCAATCCGAGCCGCGGAACGGATACATGCAAAGCTATCAGAGGTTCCCCGCGCAGCCGCGTTCCAACAGTTGCGTGACCCCCTCGATGATGACGCCGAGCTCGCCGCCTGATTACGCGGTGCAACAAGGATACGCCGGTTACGCGAACAACAATAACAACGGGAAACAGGGCTCTAACGAGGCTAACGAGTACGTGGACGATCAAGCGCAACGGCAGCTCGACTATCCCTGGATGAAGTCTTCTTTCTCTAACGGTTCGTGGAAGCGTAAATTTTCTCTTTGATTTCCTACGAAGTTGTTGTAGAGTGAAATAACCGAGCACAATGGCGAATTGTTGAATTCTTAACGCGCGTCTACCCTTATCCGAAAATTCCTTCCTCTGACCAGAAAGAAATTATCGTGTTTCAGGCGACTCGAACGGCACCGGGCACAAGCGAACGCGGCAGACGTACACCAGATTCCAGACGCTGGAACTCGAGAAAGAGTTCCATTTTAATCGATACCTCACCAGAAGACGGCGCGTCGAGATAGCACAAGCTCTGTGCCTGACCGAACGTCAGATCAAAATCTGGTTCCAGAATCGGCGCATGAAGGCGAAGAAGGACGGCAGACTCGGCTACAGCGGTCAGGAGACGAGCGCCGAGGACGTCGTCTCGACGAGCCAGAGCGGATCGCCGATCGACGGCCTCCTCGCTACGACGACGACCGCCCCGACGACGACCCCGATGCACACCGTGGCGGCCCCGACTCCTGTCCAACCGATCTCTGACGTGCAAGAGTACCACCGTCTCCACGAGGCCTATCTCCATTATCGTCATCAGCAGGGCATGTACGATAGCCATAATTACTACCAGAAGCAGAGTTATGGCGGCCAGATGACGAAGCTCGATCACCACGGCGAGTCGTGAACGGTTTCAGGAAAGTAACTGTATTCGCGTTTGTCCACGGATCTTACATTGTTGTACATAACGTTCCCTCGCGTTGACTGATAGACTGTGGAAGACTGGTTAGTGTAATTAACGTGGTGGCAATTCATAATATTACTAAGTACCGACGACCGGGGGAAAGGGACGATTCTTGATCGAGACGACCTATATTCAACCGATTACTCGATAGAAAGGGCGCATCAACCTAGTCAACGCTACCTCAAACGGGAAACAGCTTGCAGCCAAACGGCGAACTCGATCGATACGTAATCCCGAAGAAAGGAAATTACGAAGAGCTCACGACAAAGTTCGACCTTTACTGTGAATCGTGAGGAGGGAATGGCGTTCGGGGCCAGCTGACCCTGCAACCACCATGATTTATGGCCGAACTAGCTAAACAGCCGAGCATCCTGTAGCTCAGGTATCCCGAAAGCGCGGCCGTTCACGCCGTATTTCGCTCGGGCACGGTACAGGCCGATCAGTTTCGCGTTACAGTACACCAACACACCTTCAGAGTATTGCAAACGTCATTCCGAAAATATTTTGACTCGCCCGCTAATATTCATACTCGGCTGATTAATGTCGCTGACTCAGCGTAGCGCGCTTCCGCTTTCGCCACGCTTTTCGGGAAAACGAAGGTTCGAACCGCGGCGGAAACGTTTGTGGAAGTCGAGAATCGAAGAAATTAGTTTTGTAAGTTGGAAAGAGGAAGAAATGCAGAAATATTTGTCGTTGGAAATGTACCGAAAGTTTGACGGGGTGTGATCTTTAAGAATAATTTTGTCGACGACGTGGTGGAGAGTAAGATCGAACGATTAGTGAAAAAAGAATGTTTGCAATCGAGAACGGACGAGAACAGAAAGAACCGACCAGAAAGACAACGTGGGGAGTCGAAAAGTTAAGGGATGAAGAGTGGGGGGATCGGTTGGCAGCTGCGCCGTTCGCGTCAAACAAGATGGCCGAAAACGTTCCTCGTGCGTGTGCGAGCGTCCTTCTTACGGTTACTTTTTTAAGAAATAATCCTTCCAGTATGATTTGGTATCGAGAATTTTTGTTCACTGTTCGTTCGGACGATCAAAGTCGTGTTGCCGCGAATTTGAGACCTGTGCTCGTTTATTTTATTCGCAAAATCATGAAGTGTGCGTCCCGACGAAGTTATCGAATATTATCGATCGTTCGAAAGTTTATTTTTGTGTAAATTTTGGTTCCAAGGTTCGCGGATTGATTTCGTATTTATTTTCATCGGAATCGCGATGGTAATTATGTAATTTATAAGGAATTCTTCTTTCTCTTATCGTAGAGTACGTATTCGCTATTTTCGGCTGACACGATTTTGTGAATTATGTAGGCAAGCAACGCAAAATGTTCCTATTAGTTAGTAAAATACTGTAAATAGAACGATCTATCTAGCGACATTAAGGTGATGAAACAATTGTTGGATATTGTTCGAGCTCCTGCAAGCGCAAGGACCCCTATTCTTAAATATAATAATCGTAGAATTATAAAATTCTCCATTATTAACATAGATTTATTTATCAACGGGATAGACTACCGTGACAAATACAAAACTTTGTGAATATTTTTTTAACTGTATTGTAAGCGAGATACTAGTCGAACGATAAGTTCCATAAACTAATTTTATAGCAATATATTTTACGGTAAAAATAAATTATTCGAAAAGCGTTACTATTCGTCCTTTAACAATGTTACATCTTGTAAATGTAAAATCTATTCTTCTAGCTATATCTTCTATACGGGGTGTTCGGTCGTTAAAATTCATTTAGAACGTAACGTAGAAAACTCTTTAATAAACCACTCGATGTAGCAACGGGAAAGAGTGTGCATTCGTTGGAAAGAAATCGCAGTTGTCCGATAAAAATAAATTAATTTAGACCACCCGCGAAGGGTTGATCGCATCGAAGCGTCGCGGCGAAGCCCATGAAAACGATTCGGCGAACGAGGCCGCTAAATCGCGAATCGTGTCTTCGTTATCAGTCGATCGCGAGTCATCAATGGCGATCGATAAAGCATTTTAATGGCGACCACGGGTCTCCGTTATCGCGTGGATTCCTCGTGCTTAAAAGCTCGCCGCTTTTAAATATAGATTCCTGGTTCTTTCTTATGCAAACAGTGGGATCTATGGCGGAGGAGATGTGCCATTTGCGAAATGGTCACGGACTCTCCGGCCAGAAGTGGGGCGGAGAGGGAAACGGGGGGAGGGCCGGGAAAAGGTTTGTATGGCAGTGTATAGGTAAACCTACATTGCAGAGCGCAACCCTGGGACGAACGCCAGCAGCGAGAGTGAACCTTCGGTTTCTAGGGGTTGGACGAAGAGGGCGAGGGTCGATATTGTGCTTGACAGATAGTTTCCCATAGCTCCGGCAATCCATCATGGCCGGCACGCGGATACGTATTGGTTTTTCTGCAACGCGTCTTAGCTGTGAACCTCGAATTGAATATATTTCTTTTTTTCTCTGCAGCCTGTCCGGGTAACCCGCGCGGAATTTATCAGTTCTCCCGCACACTGCCTCCCCCTACCGACAGTTTATATTTTTTTCTTAACAGAAACTTCCCCGAGTTTGGGTACCTTGAGCGTTCGATAGTAAAAACTGTCTATACCGGGAAAGAATAATATGTATTTCTTAATTTTATATTACTATGATATCGGGAAGCCCGGAAACATATTAGTTCCATTTGACAAACGAAGTCGAGTCGATTAGCCTACGAGAAGCGGCAACCTACGAGCCGATAAACAGCGAAAAGAATACAAAACGAACCCAGTCACCTTTATTTATGCAGACGAATGAAACCGTCCACGCGCAGGTTAACATATGAGCATCGTGACAGCCACAGCCGCGACAAGATCTACATTAAAGCTCTGCCTCTAAACATACTCGCGCGACTCATTGCGTCATCGGTCTCCAACGTGTCCCACGACCAGAGGTGGAATCGAGTTCAATAGGTGCTTATAAATCTGAATCAATCGCTTGGGACCGAATAGCACCCAAACAAATTTACACTACGTTTCGCGTGTACTAAGTATTAAATAAAATCAATTTATTTATGTTCGTATAAGCGTCTAAATACATGGTAAATAAACTACAATCGCTTTTAGAAGATCTCGCTTCTTACAAATCAACGTCATAACCTGTGAATTAATTTTTTTTAGCTCTTCGGTGAAGAGTCCTCTCACCCTACTCGTATATTCGAACCTTTGCTCCGCTTCCCTCCGCGATTAGGCACTACTTAGTCGACTCTCGATGGCATCCCTAACCGCAAATGCACGTCTCGCAATTCGTAGCCGGTTAAAGCCCGGGTATCAACGACAATAATCACTTCCTCGGACTCGTCCCTGACCAACGAGCTAGATTATGGGGGTGCAGCAAATTGGAGGGACGAAGCAGGACGGTTTGCGCGTCGTTCTCCGGGTCGCGGAGAGGAGGGCGGAACAGATACACGTGCCCCAGCGGCTCTGCTTTGCGACACGTGATTCATGGGGGTCCCGATACGTTTTTTACACCTGCGACGGCTTTATTAGAAATTCTAATGGGACGAACGAGAGAAAAGAGACGGAGAGAAGGAGGCAGCGAAGAGTGACACGCGGCCGCGAGGCAATGCACCATGGATCGGACCGAAATACACCGGCCGTGCCCGACTTCTTCCACCGGGATCCCTTCGATGCCTTTGGCTTTCATTACGTCAGTCTGAAATACATCGACGTCCTGACGTGATGACTTCGTTATCTCGGCCAGGGGGCCCGCTGGAACCCGTCGTCCGCGTACGTGAGTCTGCGGACCACGGGCCCCTCGACGGCCCCCGTCGATCGTAGGACGATATTTATACTCTTGATAAAAACTAACGATACGATAATGGGCAATTTTTTACAAAATCGTTGCTAGGAATCAATGGAAATTAATTGCCTTAAGAGAGGTAGAGATTGTTCACAATATCGAATAATAAAATTTGAAAGAAAGATAGTCTACTGCTCAACACCGCCAGAACGAGCAACTCCCCAATTTGACTGACGATCCTCGACAATCAATACTCATCCAAAGCGTAAAATGAAACCCCCGAACCGCTTCCGTCCGGTCCACCTTTAGACGACCCTATCGCACGAAGTTGCTCTCCAAACGTCGGAAGCGAACCCCTGGAAAGGTCTGGTGCAACGAAAGGAGGGTTCGTCGCCGCGATGACGAATTCGCAAACGTCTGGGCGATCGTCATCGCGTTTCGAGCAACTCGTCGGTGTTTTGCGGCAAGGATGAACCGTGTCTGAACCGCGATCACTTGTCAACCTCTTTCTCTCTCTCTCACTCTCCCTCCCCGCAAAGAGATCGGTCGCGCGCGCGCGTTCTCAGGGCACGCCGCCGCCGACGCCGCCGCCGACGCCACGACGAGACCGAGAGGCCTAGGAAGGATGGTAGGTGTAGGACAAATACCGGGCTCCGAAGTGGCGAATACCGAGAAGGTGGTGGGGATCACCGCGTACACGAGCAGAACCGCGAGAGAACTTAAAGTGGAAGAGATAGCCGGTTTCGTCGGCGCGATGGTGGGGGCGCGGCGGCTCGATGGTGGGGGTTCGCGGTAGAAAGGGGAGGGGCGGTCGAGGGCGGGCGCGCGCGACAATTCAACAGGAACGGCCGCGCTTGCCACATCTGGCGAGCGACCGACACACTACCGCACAATTTTCTCGTGATTTTCCTTTTCCATGGCGCACGAAACAATCGAGCCTCGATGTTTTCTACGCGGCCGTTATTTTCCTTGAGTTTTTTACGGGACGAACGAGAGGAACAATGGTGCCGTCCAGGACGACGATCGCTAGAGCGAGGATGTAGCCGCGAGTAGGTAGAAAGAAGTAGAGACAATAGGGCAGAGGGGCGCGATCGCGCGGAACGCGGAAAATACGCATGGAAAACGCGGGCGAAACGGGCCGAAGCGTTATCCGCGAGAAACGAGGAGAGCTCCGCCTCCTCGGCCGTCCCCTTCGCTCCGGAACCCCACCGGCGCGTCGCCTCCCCGCGGTGCCCCCCGTTTGACCAACTGGCTACTACGTCACACATGCTTCTGCTCGCCTTGGAGCCGCCAACTCCGAAGGCTCTCCTCTCGACCGGCTCAGTCGGTTCAGTGAGTTACGAGTTGCGTCCGGGTTCGCCGTACGTGCGATAACGGGGGCGTCAATCGGACCGCGCGATTGGGAGAGGATTCCTAGTCTCGTGCACGCTTTCCATTCTCTCTCCGTCTCTCCCTTTCACCCGTCTCCGTCGTTCCGTCCCTCGGCCCGTCCCTCTCATTCGGCTACGGGCAACAGGTTTGAATTTATGGGACAATAAAGAGTGCGGTGCGTAGTGCGCGCGTGTTTCCCTCTCGCTCGCTCCGATACCGGATCGTCTTTCCCGCCAGACGGCCGGCTCCGTCTCTCCCACGGACACGTTCCGTGTTCTCTCGCGGCGTCGACGAAGAACAGCGCGCTGGAGACTATCAAACTCTCATAAAACTGTCAGCCGCGAGCAGCTGACTTATGCGCGCCCTTCCACGGATTGCGGCAGGTTCGTTTCCCGGTCCCGGGCCCCATCCGTTTCGCGGGTTCCGCGATGTTTCCGGAAGTGAAACGAGTGCACCGGTCCGCGGTGTCTAAGAACTGAGCCCGGTACCCCTTCACGCAAGCAACAACAGCAGCTGCATCACCACTCGCAAACGAGACACGCGGACGCGTAACCGCGAACGATCGGTCCGGCACCGTTGACGCGCTCGGCGACAAGTTTCCTCCGGAGTACGAACGATCGTCCCGAAGCGATCGAACGAGATCGTAGATCGAGCAGAACCGGCAGTCCCGCGGGGCACCACCTCTTCCTCCTTCTTTCCGCGCCACGAGGGTGTACGCGGAAGGGGGCGCGTGCGCGCGTTGCCCCCTCGCGGAGACGGCAAGCGGAAGACTACTTCACGGTGACGTTGCGGCCAGAAGGTTGAAGAGAAGAGAACGAGAGAGAAGCAGCGAGATCCTCGCCCCACCATCGGTCCTCGGGGCTCCCGAATATCTCTCCATTAGCCCCCCTGACGGTGCTATCCCCTCCTCTGTGACCCCTCGTATTTCCTGTCCTGCTCGCACACCCCTCTCGTCGGCTCTTGTCACGTCGGGTAGCAGCCAGGCAACACCACCACACGAGCAACCAGCGGCGGCAGCGCCAGCAGCAGCAGCACCAGCAGCACCAGCAGCAGCACCGCAGACCCGACGGAGACGCAAGGAACGGGGTTGAAGAATCCTACGCCGGCGGAGAGACCAATCAAGGTTTGACGAACGACGGGGATTGGTCGAGGCGCTCCTCTGACACGCAGAGAGCGCGGGCACGTGACAAGCTACCGCACACACCGGGCCTCCGTTGGATCGCGGCGAGGCCTTCAGTACGATACCAACCACCCTCCGCGCACGCAACAGGAACGGTGAACGCGAGCCGCGGCATACGCTTCACCCCCTAATGCGGTGATATCGGGCACAGACCGGCTTACCGAGTGGAGCCACGGACGGTTTTCAAAGGTTTCGCGGTTCCATTTTTCGGACGTTTGTTCGGCCGCGTGTTCCGACCCGCTCGCGGTCCACGGATATTTGAATCGTTTTCGGTATTCGACGCGACTCGGATTCGTGCGGATAAATCATCGGAGGAATAGCGGGGAAGTGCACGGGGGTCTCGTCTTCAATGGGGCGACCCGATAAGCCGGCTGTTACGCGCTACTGCACGCTGCCACCGCGAGTTCTCTGTAGGTAATTGCGACTCGTGAGGTCGTAAAGAAGCAGAAGACAGTTTTATAGCCCAGGCCCACGTGGCCCTCGTAAACTCGACGCGGCTCGGGTCGGCTTCAGACTCTGCCCGCCTGCCGGCACACGGCCGCCTCTCCTTCTATTCGTCGCGATCCCCCTCGTTCATTATCGAGTCGTTTAGGGAGCCGGGGTTCGTCCGCGCGATAGGTGCGAACGCGAGTAAACGGCCCCAGTGTTATATCGGTAACCTGTCGCCAGTGCGAGATGACACCGCTGCCGTGAGACCACCGACGCGATGACACGGTCCTGTACTTAACGACAGTGCGCGTACCCCGTCATCCGCCCGACGACCGATCGTGCCGTTTGTTCTCGTGAATGTCGAGCCGTAAGCGCGCCGAACGATCGGTACAGTGACGTCGACGACTGGTGCAACCGCGTGAACGATGAGTTCCTATCAGTTCGTGAACTCGCTAGCGTCGTGCTACGCGGGCCAGCAGCCCCAGCAGCAGCCACGAGCCACCGCGAACTCGCCCGGAGAACCGTTGCAGGCGGCGTCGCCCGCGGGCGGGGACTATTACAATCCGAACGCAGCGGCCACCAGTTACCCGGCGCCTTGTTACTCGCCCCAGCAACATTATCCTCAGCATCCTTACGCGACGCCCGCGGCCGGGATGCCGCACGCGGCCCCCGCAGGCATGATAGACTACACACAGCTACAGCCCCAGCCGAGGCTCAGCGCGACCACCACCTCGCAACAACACACCCTGCACGCGCAACAGTCCCAGCATCACCCTCAGCAGCATCATCCCCAGCAGCTTCACCAGGACCCGACGACGCCGCTCCTGCAGGCTGCCTCCGCGCCCTCGGCGCCCTCCACCTCCAGCTGCAAGTACGCCGACTCGACGTCATCCGCCAGCGTTGCATCGCCCCAGGATCTGACCACGTCCACCTCCAGGAACAGTCCCACGCCTCTGGTCGCCTCGGGCACCAGCAAATCCGCCACCGGTCTCACCTCGCCGCCCGGAAGCTCCCTCAGGTCCTCCGTCGCCGCGTCGGCCGCCTCGCCGCCCACCGGAAACTCCAGACCCGGGGCCGAGGAAACCTCCACGCTGACCACCGCGACCTCCGCCTCGTCGCCGGCCTCCTCGACCTCCAGCACCTCCAGCACCGGCAACAACTCCTCGAACAAGCAGAACGCATCCGGTGGCACTCCGCCGCAGATTTACCCCTGGATGAAGAGGGTGCACATCGGGCAGAGTAAGTTAGTTCCACCTATCTTTCGCGGTTTAATTCGGGGGTACCGCGAGACTCGCTCCCTCCGAGTCACGTGACTGGATCACCAGGCGAGTCGAGTCTAAAAGGGTTCTAAGAGCCCAAGTATCACTGGGTACCGATCGTTCCTGTAAACTCGATGTAATTGTTCAGACACGATTCTTACAGTCGAGAGATCAAAGTTCTCCAAGTTTATCAAACAAGTACAATAAGCTACGATGTAAGGGTTGCAAACGCGTCGTATGATCTTGTTGAAAAATCAATGCATCGCGTTGGGTCAGAATTCTAACAGTCGGTAGTATCGCAGAGTCGCAAAAGACGCAACGTTTTCTTGCGACGTTTCCTGGGCGCTTACCACCCACGACGCGTACACGTGTTTCGTGATTTTTCACAGGCCGAATTTGCCGAAAAGGAGTTCGGATTTCCGTGGGAGACGTCGGGTTCTCGTGTTTCCCGAAAGCGCAAAGGAAACGGCGACCGGGCCGCGAGATTCCGTTCGAACGAATTGCGCCGGAAAAAGAAGCGTAAAATCGTAGCTCGCGCGTCCGGGCGTTCTGTTAGGCCGTAAATCGTGCGTCGGCGAGGCCCGATCGGTGGATAAGTCGTCGTGGAAATCTACGAAAGAAATATCGCCGGCTCGCGAAAGTTAGCGGTGATTTGTGGATTAGCGCCACGAAAATTTGTGCCAGTGTGTCATAACAGGAATGTGGAATCGCGGCTCCTTGAGAATCGCGATTATTTCGCGGCGGCCGGTTCCCACCCGAGACCGCTAAATCACGACTAAAATATTTAACGGCGCTATTATAAATTTCGATACTCGCCGCGATAGCGATCCTCGCTCGTATATCACGTACCGTGCCGTTGAACGGGAAGTCACGGCCAAATTAGCGAGTTCTTCGTTTCGCGAGGCCGAGGAGTCATCGAATTTTGTACGTTTCCCGATCGATAGATCGCGAGAAATCTTTCGACGACGAATTGCGCGGCGAACGATTTGATCGTCGATTTAGAGCCATTTGCGGCTCCGTCAGTCCGTGGTTCGTAAATGTTTCACGTTATCGCGGAATGGCTGACGCGCAGGGACGAGCGCCGCGCAAGAATAGCAGAAAAATAATCGATAGGACTGCTCGGGTTGTTCGAAAATAGGTAGAAATTACGCGGATATTGTGTCGGTAGCGTCGGAAGGAATAAAATCTTGGGGAGTTTAGACCCACCGGGAACCAGGGATCGAAAGAAATTTATAGCGTTAAAGGCCCGTTGCTCGACCATTTCTCTTCATTACTATAATCAGTCAAATCGAGCCGGTTACAAACGGAAGCGGGGTTTTAGAATCCTCGTCGTGAAGTTTCCGATAGATCAACGCGCGTAACGATCTAGCGTGATTCGAACCAGTTTATGATTGGTTAGGAGATTCGAAGCAACGAAAATATCGGGTTTACCACGATGATCGTGGACGCAGGTTTGAAAAACGAGAGAAAGAGAGAGGCGCCGAATCCTGTCAGAAACGTCCAGTTTCAGAGGACCGCTATTTATCAATTTCTTTTTGCCACGAAGACCTCGAAACCGAGCCAGAACATTCGAATATTTTTCGCGTAAACTTTTCTGAAATTACTATCTCGACATCCCCCGTTTCAAAGTCTCGAAGAAACCATAGAAATCGACACCCAATTACCGCCATTCGATAATGTCCTCCGCCACGAAATCTAGTCGGTGAAACTTTTCTCACCCAAACCCCCGACGCCCACAAGGAGTCTAAACAACAACGGGGTAGCCCTAAGCGCGAGTCCCGCGATTCATTAGCTATCGTCGGAGGAGCGACATAAAAATTGCCACGTCGAACAGCCGCTGCCGCGAACGCCCACGCGAGCACTCCCGGAAGGTAGCCGTCACCGTGGGCCGATCCTCTGGCGAACCGCGATTACGTAAACGTTGGTCCCGACAAGTGGCTGGTGCCGGGCGAGCGGCGGCGGTCCCTCGTGAAATCGGGCTGGCGATTCTCGGATAACGACGGTCGTCGGGGCTATAAAAATACGGAAACGGGAGGAGACAAATAGAGTGCGTCGCCTTCGGTCGGCGGGGACCGTTCGAGGGGGGGGCAGGGACACGGGGTTGCAGCAGCGAGTCCTGGACCAAGAGTAATTCAGCGGAGTCCAAGGGACTGGATCCACCTGCCCCCGTGGTTCAAAGGAGATAAGACAGCGAGCGCTGGTCGCGTTCACATTAGTCGCCCCGCGTGATTTACTGCGCGGCCAGTATGATTCAGTCAGCGGGGAATTTGACGAAGAATTAATGGTATTATGATATCGTGTGTAACTCTATGTATGTGCGCCCGGGCCATAAATCAGGCTGCATTGTAAGGCGCGGGGGGCCCTTTCCTTCGTTCTCTCTCTCGATCCGACTACGGACCGTTCCCTCTTCGTCTCTCCGGCCTCTCTCGAACGAAGGCCGAAGCCCATTCGACGGGCCTCCAAACGGGATACGAAAACCAAAGCTCCTTTCCTGCGTCTTTCGACTTCCTCTCTCGGTCCGCCGCTCACGCCTCCGCTGCGTGATTCGATTCTTTTCCCGCGTTTTACTGCCTTTCCGATTAGCCCTCGACGGCCAAAATGCTCACGGTTGCTCGATAACTTGGGTACCCCAATCAGCAAATTAGTCGGAAATTAAATGATTTCTCTAAACTCTGTCCTGACCCCTGCACCACATTAGGCATTATAGGATTAGGGACTCTTAATAAGTTTTCAGTATTTCTTTTCAATATCTTAATGTGCAATATATCTGAAAATGAAGCTTGTAACAGCTTTTCCCATCTCTAATATCTCGGGTATCATTTATCAATTCGCGCTGCAATTTGCTCAAAAACAACACGTTTCGACGACGCGGCATAATTTTTCTATCAAATTCAAACGCTTCCTCGCTTCGTCGGAGGAAGAACGTGCTCGAAACTTTGGCTAGTATGAAAATTTCGTTGAATCGGACTACCTCGACCAGGCTACACGCGATCACCGTCGGGACAACGGTCCCTCAGAGTTTCTACCGGAACACTGCGGATAGAATGCTCGAGATCCGAATTTTTCGGACAAGAGCCTCTTACAAGACGTCTTGAACGACCTACGGCGTTAATTGTACGTTTCCCCGGGAGAAGACAGCGCCGTGATAATTGCCTTCTTCTCAGAATTGTGCATCAATGAGACGAGGCTGCACAAGAGCGGCCGTAAATCACGAAGAGTTGCACGACAATCGCCCCGTCAAAGGGGTAATTGTACCAAAGATAATTATGCTAGGTGATTTCTGACCTGGCCATGTCTTCGCCAAACGATCCTGAAAGCAAAGGACCCCGTTGTCCTGATTTTTGGATACCCCGTCTTACCTTGGACCTAACCAGAACTTTGCCTGGCTTCGATTTACGATTGTGTTTTTAATCATTTTTGGGGAGGTTTGGGAATCATTCGAAGCACCTTGATATTGTACTGACTCCTGTGATCAGAGTTGAAATATAATATTATGAGTTATTTTGATCCTAACAGCATAAATGTTGACGCATCGCTTGATCTTCCAATATAGAATACGAAGTTGGAGAAAAACAACATCGCGACTATCTTCTAACGCAGTTAATTAAATTCAACGACTTAAACTCTTTACTGATACGAGTGGCAGTATATTATGCAATTTATAGAGCAAGACACGACCATAAACAAGATACTATTCGTTAACGAACGTATAGCGTGACGGGGGAAGTCGATTTTAGTTTGTCGAAAAACTCATTCCAGTTATCTGCTAATTTTCAATCATAGATCGATTATATAAATTAAAAGTTTAATAGTAATATTATTGCGTTAGGAGAATTCCTTTCTTCGCTTGTGTTCGATTCGATCTGCTATCGTTCGTAAATGTTCTATATTAATCACGATTTATTAATTGTTACGAGCTGCTTCCCTGACATTAACGCTGCTTAAAAATATAGATAAACGTAGAAACAATATCGAGGAAAAGGTTCGTACAACATTAGTCAATAGGATGGGGAAACATTCTATTCCCTTTCACTTCGTAAAACCCTCGTCGCTTTAAATATAAAATGATACCATAATATTCATTTGTTAGATTGTCTTGGAAAATATGGAGCACTTAAAATGCTTGTTTCCTGGTAATTTTTAACTATCGAAGCGAAATAAGTTCTCGACTCGCGCGGTTAATTCGTTCCGGGGTTCTCCGCGTAAATTGAATTCTATAAATAGAATGTATAGCTAGGAGAAAGAAAGATTAGCCTCGCGTTAAGAATAGTATGGTATCATGAGTAATTATTATTTAAAGAAATTGTTAATTGCAGGCCTTACGAAGGCTGAATAAAACATTCGACTTATCGCGGCTCGAAATTCCCTCGAAGGCTGATCTTTCTCTTTTTCTCATCGACGTTAATCCATAGACATATCTTTAACCTTTTCGGTTTTCAGTCTGTTAATAAATAAAGAAAATTACAAGTAGAACAGAGCTATAATTAGTCGTGTACTTTAATATTGCCCTTAATTTTTTCTCTGCACGAATCCAGTATAATACCGAGGAACGGTGGACGAGATCAGGTCTGGTATTAATATTTATACCGTTAGCCCCCCCTCCTCCCCCGACTACGCGTCCCCCAAAATTAGCTACGAGATCGTCCCGGTCGCGATTCCGCAGGATTTCGTAAGAAAATAATTGCTCGGTTGCTTGTAATTGCTGATATAATTGCTGATAGCAAGTAATAATTAAGGAGCGGGATCAAGTTCGAAGGAACACGGCCGGCAGACTGGTCTTTCGACGTGAAATCGCGGAACGAGTCGAAGGTCCGTTACTCGGTCGCGATCGCGACGGTTTTGTCCGTCATGGCGCGACACGGCTCCAAGAAAAAAGAAACGCTCGGACACAAATATAAAACTCAAGGATTTCGTGACTCGTGAGCAAGAAGAAACACATCGCAATGCTCGAATACATATAGAAACAAATAAGTAAATGAG